GCAAAACTCACAAATACGACAACCCATCCAATTACAAGTTCAACCATACTAATTTCACTCAAATCCGACTCCAAATCAGTATTCAAACTTGAAAAATTCATTTTGTGACATTATAGAAATTTTCCTTCTGTCTCTCTTGAAGATTCAATAATCTTACACCAAAAATGAAGATTAATTCATGGAATATAGTCACAAGGGAGTTCATAATACTTACCTCAAGTTGTGTGGAAAATTTCCTCTCCAAAATTGCCCAAACCGTGCTCCAAAATCCGAAAATGAGAAAAATTCCCGGAACCCTCGTTTTTAACACTGCCCAGACATTTCCGCACATGCGGTGCCTGGGCTCGCACATGCGCATCCACTTTTGCGGACAAAAATGCGCACCTGCAAAAATAATCGGCCCTCTAAAATCTTGCATCTGCGGCGCCATTCTCGCATCTGCGGGCTCACAGATGCGCATTCCCCTTCGCACCTGCGGTCGCCTCACGCCAGCCCCAGTCCGCATCTGCGCCAACACCTTCGCACCTGCGGCCTCCCAGATGTGGCAAATTCCTCGCACCTGCGAGCAATTCCCAATTCCACACTTGGCCGCTTCTGCGACTGATCTCGCGCACCTGCGATCAATAGCTTCGCATGTGCGATCACACCAGTAGGCATCAGCCCCAACATTTTCTTAAGTCCAAATTTGATCCGTTAACCATCAGAAACTCACCCGAGCCCCTCGGGACCCCATCCGAACATACCAAAAAGTCCCATAACGTAACACCGACCTATATGGGGACTCAAAATACACATAACAACATCGAAGCGATGAATCACACCTCAATTCAAAATCATTGAACTTTGAAGTTTCAAGTTTCTACAAACGACTCCGGAACCTATCAAATCATGTCCGGTTGACCTCAAATTTTGCACACAAGTCACATTTCACATTATGGACCTATCCAAATTTTTAGAATAATATTCCGACCTCGATATCATAAAGTCAACTCCCGGGTCAAACTTTCCAAAAATTCATCTTTCGGCATTTCAAGCTTAATTCTACTACGGACTTTCAAATAATTTTCCGAACACGCTCCTAGGTCCAAAACTACCATACAGAGCTATTGAAATCATCAAAATTCGAATTTGAGGTCGTTTACACATAACTTCACATCCGGTTACTGTTTTAACTTAAGCTTTAAACCTTAAACTAAGTGTTCCAATTCATTCCAAAATCTCACTGGACCCGAACCAATTACCCCGACAATTCACACAACAACTGTAAAGTATAATTTGAGCAGTAAATGGGGAAACAAGGTTGTAATACTCAAAACGACCTGCTGGGTCGTTACATATACGCATATGCATGGCATTATAAATATTTTATGATTTACATAGCTATCCAGACTTACATGTTGAGTCCTTTATTCTATGTTTCTTTCATGTCCTTTATATACTGATTTACATGCCTTACATACTCGGTACACTATTCGTACTGCGTCCTTTTGTCGTGGATGTTACATTCATGCCTGCAGGTATATATAATCAGTTTGACGGGCCCTCATAGTAGTCAATGTTAGCATTCAACGAAGGACGGTAAGACTCCACTTCATTCGGAGTGCAGAGGAGTTTGTAAGTCAACGTGTCGTAGTTTTGCTATAGACTTATGGGTAGGCCGGGTCCATGTCCCGACCATGGTTTGATGTCAAATACTCTTAGAGGCTTTGTAGACACATGTTCATCATGTACAATATGTCATAGACCTTGAAGGCCCATATGTATTCATGTTTTAAGTACTATGATTCGCTGATACAACGTTTGCCCACTTATAGTTATACATTACGAGTTGTGGCCATGTTGCCCTATGATAGTTGAAAAAAAAGAGAGTTACAAAGTGGTTCGATCGGGCCAGTTCGGCACCGGGTGCCAGCCATGCCTCCGCAGGTTTGGGGCGTGACAACGAAGGTCGCACGATTCACATTGGCCGAAGATGGAACACTATATAAAAGGATGTTCGATAGACCATTGGCAATATGTTTGGGACCAGGAGATACCAACTGCGTCCTACGAGAAATCCACGAGGGCATATGCGGAAATTATTCTGGTGCCGAATCATTGGCACCAGAATTTGGCCTAGGGTTATTTGATATTGACATAAAAAATTAACGATGACAGGGTTGAGGGGGCCCACTGTGAAAGGGTAAATGTAAACACTTAGAAACCCTTCCACATGAGTGGTGATGTCTTCTTCGGGGGTCGGGATCATCACACCTAGGAAGGATGGATTTGGCCTAGGGTTATTTGATATTGACGGCAAAAATCAACGATGACGGGGTCGAGGGGCCCCAACGTGAATGGTAAATGTAAACACTTAGAAACCCTTCCACATGAGTGGTGATGTCTTCTTCGGGGGTCGGGATCACCACCTTTTTGCCCTCCCAGTTGCAGTCTTTCTTTACCTACTTGCGATATCCCTCAGTTATCGAGCATATATACCTCGACATTGGCTCGCATCGACCAGGAATCGACGAGACTTTTATCGGTCTTAAAATCAGAGTTTAGCGCTCACCCCCAGGAATGCATTGCTCAAGACGGGGTTCCACTGACGCTTTCCCGCCGGCCGGTTGAGAAGAAGAAACAACTTCTTTTTGTGGTACCGTTTTCGACGTTTTTGCCACATGTACCCATATGGATGAGTATAAACTTTTAAAAACCATATAAAAATTATATGAGAAATGTGTTTGACTTATAAAATAAAAGTTAAAGAGAAAATACAAGTTTTCGAAAATGATATTGTTAATCCTATTTAACTAACTTAATAAAGGTAAAAACTTTGTCATAGTAGTTTCATTCATCTCGCTGAGTCTATTCAGGGGCGGCCCGACCAATTTCGTAGCCTGAAGCCAAACTTTATGAGGGGCCTTAACTTTTTTATTAATAAAAAATATTTTATTTTTATTTGAAGTCTATTTTTCAAACTTTTTTTAGATGCAAATTTATTATTAATTTTTTATAATTAATTTATCCTAATAAGTCTTTCTCAATTGACAATATAACTTATTCATTTAATATCTTTGAGACATTGTTGATCTTATGTAAGGTTTTATCAATTTTAGTTTTGAAACACTTTTTTTCGCTGTAGCAACGGTAATAGGAGTTATTAACATTATTCTATAAGTAATATAGGCATTTGGAAAATAATCAAACCTTTTTATTTGATTGAGTATATCAATTAAATTGTTATCTTCTAATTGTACTATTTTTCTTAATATTTTTTATTCAGAAAATAAATCTAAACTATCAATATCGGGTTGATTATTATGATTTAAGGAGCATTCAAGATGAATGCAATATTTTTTTAAATTTCCATCAACTAGTGATCTCAGTTTTTACCGCTAAATATAAAACCAAAAATATTTCCATATGCAAATAAAATTGTAATACAATCTAATAAGGAAAGATTAACAAATGAAATTCTAGCTGATTTTAAAGTTCTAACTTTAGGAAAATTAGCATGTATGGTAATTGAATGTTTATTCCTAAATATTAGGAAGGCAACTTAAATTATAATTTTATCTAGTGTAAAGTCGATTTTTTAAGGGTAAAAAAAGCGAACGATATTTCTCTAAGGGCTTTCGTGCTTTTAATGTATTATAGACTAGTTACTATGTACGTGCATTGCACGTTAATAATGACACGTGATGATGTAGTCAATTCTTTATATGAAGGGACAGTATCAATAATAAAACAACCCTTAACATATTCGTATATGTAATGCCGCCATAATTTAAATGCCAAGAAATGTTATTACATATGTTAGCATAATATGGGAACTCAAACCGATTGGATATCATCGTCTGAACCTACAAAAATAATCAATTAAGTTATGTCAGTTATGACATACTATTATACACTTATAGTTTATAAATATGCAATGTGATGATATCTTACCTAAGACTTCTTTGTAGATGACATTTTTTATGTATTCTTACGCTTTGGTTGCTCCGTCATGATAAGAACTTTTGTTGTGGACATCGATATTCCTCTTGAAAGTGCAACATATAGTTGCCCATGTAAGAAAACATATTGCGGGAGATACAATCGAATATGCGGAATTGTTTGTCCTTGTGCTTTATTTATTGTCATTGCAAAACACAAGCGTACTGAAAATTATTTACGGATAAATTTAAAAGGATATCCTTCATTTTATGGAGGTGAAAGGTAAATTATAGGCATGAACACATGCTTGGAAGTACATTGACCCATCATAATTTTTGCATGTATAACGTTGTTGTCAAAATCTCTACATACCATTCTTGTACCACATAAACCATTTGACGGATATAAGTTTCTCAATAACATGATGGGTGCATTTTTCTTCAAAATCAACCTCTATGCAAGGGAAAATCAATTTTCAATTATTAAAATTATCATTAACTCTTCAGTTAAAACTTAAAAGAAACAGAGAATGGGGGAAAAAAAGTAATGTATCACGAAGTCAAAGAAATCTAAAGTGATTTAGCTGTCAAAATAAATTAAAATCTTCATAAAGCATGTTTTTGTTACTATTATCTTTTAAAGACTTACGAACTATGACCGAGTGAAAGAGGAAGAAGGCATACAGTGAAATTTATAAAAATAAAATTTTGTAATGGTTGCTAATTCAATGGAAACTTTTTAAGCATTTAGAGAGTTAGAACCTAACCCATTTCAAATTTGATATAATAGCTGTGTGAGATTTTTTGTGTCTGTTATATACAAATATGATAGTAGTAATATATATAATGAATTTGACAATGAACTTATGCAGTGAAAAACTATTTTGTGTAAAGTATTTAAATATTTTTTCTGATAGTAATTGTTGGTATTATTTTATGCGGAGTTAAAATTGTAAAATATTTTGCTCTCACCAGATTCTTAAATAGATATATGAATATAAGATATATGAATATAGATATAGATAGATATAAATTTTACCTCTTAAAACTGTCTTATGCCAAATCCGCCCAAAAAGTTAAGCATTGTGAAAAGTGTAAATTCAATTCAATTCAATTCAAATGTTAGTATCTGGAATAATTCTCTCCATAGAAATGGCGCAGACGTAAAGTATAGCTAAACCGCACAATCAACCCCCCCTCCCCGACTCCCCCTTCCCCAGCCGGGCCATAAATACAGTACAATAGTATTCTTTCTTTCTTTCTCAAACGCACTACCCTACTCTGATTAGTGACTGCTATTAAGGGGCAAATCTTTGGTTTTGGACATCTTCTCTATCAATCTTCAGTAACAAAGATGTCAGGGCCTCAGTGCTGTGAGAACCCACCAACTTTGAGCTCAAGTAGCGGTGTTGGGTCAGTGTTAGAGTTTGGGGGTCTCAAAACCTACGTCTCTGGTTCGTCCAATTCCAAACACGCCATCCTCCTCGTCTCCGACATTTTTGGTACTTACCCTTTTAACCCCTTACTGTCTGTTCTTATTCATGAACTTTGGGCAACTGGGTTCTGCTCAATTTGCACTTCCATTTCTCTTTCTTCTTATTTTAGCACGAAGATTGAGTAATCTATTGATCAATTTGGTACGACGGAAATTTCCGAAAGTTTAACTTATTTTTTGGAAAATACTTCTGAAAAAACGTTTTTTAGAGATTGATAAATAATGTTAGCAAATTAGATAATGTTTTGATGAAATTTGTAAGTTTAAAGATGGATAATGATATCTAATTGTTATTACCTCAGTCCATTTTATGGGACACTATTTCATTATTAGTCCGTTAAATCATTGAAGCTTTTACTATCTTGGAAGTTACATAGATCTTTCTTAAAATATTTTCATTCTAAGGGTTGTGATCTAGTGTGTTCTTTGTTAAGTATCTTAATCTCATTTCAAATGCCAGATTATAGACTGGAAGTTAGATGTTTTGTACCTTGGTTCTCAACTCTTATGTCAAACAATTAAGGAAGAAAATTATGTTTTTTCTGTTGAATTTTGACAAGATTAATGTGAACTAGTGTGAATATTTGAAGCCTCCTTTTAGGAAGAAATTGGTAGATGCATTTTTAATGCATTTACATTGCATGTNATCAACATTGTTGAACTTTGAAGATTGGAGTTGAAGACACAATCAAAATTTATCAGTAAGAGAAAATTGCAAAAGTGGAATCTTGCCAAGGTGGAGATTTGTTGAATTTTGACAAGATTAATGTGAACTAGTGTGAACATTTGAAGCCTCCTTTTAGGAAGAAATTGGTAGATGCATTTTTCATGCATTTACATTGCATGTTCACACTTAATATGATGTCATGCATGACATTATTAAGACCATTTCTCTTCTATAAATAGCAAGAGTTTTGTTCATTTGTAAACATCTCTCACTTGCCTTCTTATCTCCTAAGACATTTAAATCTTCTTTCTTTCTTGTAGTATTTCACTTGTATTTTTGGAGTGAAATAAATTTGAGTTGATTGTGTCCGAGGACTAGGCAAAAAATTAAATTTTGCCGAACCTCGTTAATTTCTGGTGTTCATTTTATTATTGTCTCATTTACTATTTATTAGCTACCTTTAGATATAGTAGTTGTGATTTAATCACTCTCTATATATTCGGCTTCCGCAACAATTGGTATCAGAGCCAAGGTTCTATCTTAGTATGCTCTGTGGTTGCAGCATAGTCTGAACTTCCATATCAGAAAAGAATTACTTTGGTGTTCTGTACTGTTAGCAAATAAATAGTATCTATAGCAAAATGGGAGATAATAAAAATGAAGAGTCCACATCGGGTGTCAGTAATACGTCGTTGGCATCTTCGCTTATGACAAGAATTATGTCAAATGCGAAATTTGCAGTTGAAATTTTTGACGGGTCAGGACATTTCGGGATGTGCCAAGCTGAGGTTCTTGATGTCCTTTTTTCAACAAGGGCTAGATATTGCCATAGAAGAAAATAAACCAGACAATATCGGAGAAGGAGATTGGAAGATTATCAATCGTGTTGCTTGTGGTACCATTCGATCTTACCTCGCAAGAGAACAGAAGTATCCATACACAAAAGAAACTTCTGCAAGTAAATTGTAGAATGCGTTGGAAGATAAATTCTTGAAGAAAAACAGTCAAAATAAACTTTACATAAAAAGACTATTACGCTCCACATATGTTCCTGGTATTACAATGAATGATCATATCACCAGCTTTAATAAGTTGGCGCCAGATTTGCAGAATATGGACGTGACTTTTAGTGATGGAGATGTGGCCTTAATGTTATTAAGTTCACTTCCCGATGAGTATGAGCACCTAGAAACTACTCTACTTCATGGGAATGATGAAGTGTCTCTCAAAGAAGTTTGTTCTGCCTTGTACAGCTATGAACAAAGAAAGAGAGAAAAACAAAAGAGTGGAGAAGGAGAAGCACTGGCCGTGAGAGGTCGTTCTCATAATCATATGAGAACGAAGAAAGGAAGATCCAAGTCAAGATCCAGACCCAGCAAAGACGAATGTGCCTTTTGCCGAGAAAAGGGGCATTGGAAGAAAGACTGTCCAAAATTGAAAAACAAGGCCAAACCTAACAATGGAAAGGCTGTCATGGATTCAAATGTAGCTGATTGT